ACGATCATTCTCACTGTTCGACGGCAACGTAAAGAGCGAAACTCAGAATTCAGATTGTCTCTCCAATTCCGGCGATGTTTCGCCTCGATCACAAGTCAACATTCTGTTGTCAAATCTGACGTTCCAGCTCGCAAATCTACTCTGAAAATCACGACTCGTCCTTTCTGTAGTTTTGGATTCAGTCAATAGCCATCCTAATTCCACTTCTTTTCAGCACTCAACAGCTGGTCGAAAACGCAAAAGAACGCGGTTTGGCTGGGAACTTGAATGTGATCCTCGTGCTTTAACTTCTAGTTGATGAAGAATCATCCTAATATGATGATAGTTCTGCAACCGGCTATATATTTTGTTGTTCCCAGTTTTGGCCACATGTAAGTGATTCTGTAGGGATCTACAAAAAGCACTTTACCAGTGCGACTAAGCATATAGAATGAAAATGAAGAAAGATGTGTGTAACTGAAATTGTATCGAGTCGTTGATGGATGTGGGAGTATAAAATCATAAGGGGATCCCCCACCTGAGACAATTGCCTCTAGATGGTCGCACAAGGTCCAACTTTTGTTTTGATACAATAAAAATGACAAAGGGGGAAAACTTTTGGCTCCAACTTGAGCTCACAGGAACAATGGAATGTCTTAGTTAGTGTGATCACAATGGTCACCCCAGTCGAGAAGATGAATCAGGATCTGGGCTTGTGCAGCCGAGGCCGGTTGCAGAAGATCCGCCCATTGGCCCTAACCAGTGCTGCAACGCCCACACTGATGCCCGCCCACAGGATCGAGAACAGCAAGTGCTTATGCTTGTAATCACTCCCAGCTGCTCAGCATTTTACATAGTTTTAGATTAAGTTTGAACGAAATCTAACCATCCAGAAAAAAGTAAGATCAGACTTAGTGACTTACCTTGTTTCAGAGACATTGTTGCAAACCAGAAACTGATCAGAACCACCAACAATGCCACAGGGAAATTCTGAGAAATGAAAGAACTTTGTTGTTAGACTAGAGTTTTTTTTTAATGCTAGGAAAGTGGGAAATAGTTTTAATCTTAATTTATGAATGCTTACGGCTATAGCCTCGAGGCCTCCCTTCTGAGGCACAGGAGCCATGTCTCGGCTCACAGCAACTATATAGTGCCCTTGCAGGAGATCAATCGCATCCTTTTGCACACAACCAAAATTAACTAAGAGTCAGGACACATTCCACTTTCAGGGATAAGTGGTACGACAAACAGTCGCACACAGTTCTAGGTACTACTACCACTGAACATTATTAGATGAGACAAGTGTAGTTACTGAGAATGAAAATCCACCAACCTGCTTAGTTCCATCCGCAAAGTTATTTAGGTAATAGCGTACGAGAGAGCTCCAACCATCTTTAAGGACACCTTGGGCAGTCCGATGCCCATACCTAAATTTAAGCCAGTTAGAGAGACTCAATAGATGGCTAGTGCCTAGTAGGGTAAATCTACAAAACACTCCCTACTTAAGGTGACTGCATATTGCCTTATAGCCAGGAGTTATTCAGCCCCAAACTTAAACATATGGAAAAAGTACCTGACAAAGTCCCCTTTAAGTGCAGGAGTACCAGAGTACTGAATGCTGATGTCATCACCATGATTAGCCCATACTGAAAGGCAAAAGCACATAAGCCACAGTTATAAGTTCGGAATTTTACATCTAAGTGCTGCAATATCAGATTTCCTACAAAGATAAAGAGACTGACATATTTTATAACGTTCGTCAAAATTCGGATGTGAGCTTATGGTTTCTTCAGCGCCAAAAACACCAATCCTTTTAAGTTGAAGTTCTAGCATCTTTCGACCTATCATGCTCTGCACTTGGCAGAAAGTATGCGGCAATAATGAGCAACGGCCAATGAGATAAGAGCAGCACCATCACATTATTAAGACTAACCTGGGTGACATTTGTACGGTCTAAGCAATCTATGCAGTTTGTTCGGACAACACCAAGCTGCTCCTTCATTTTCTCACCCTTATCATTCATCAGAAAGTACCTATGTAATTCAGAAAATGCAGAATGACATGCCATTTTTTGTATAAATATACATAGTTCAAAATTATATAACTAGAAATTCATACCCATTTTTTTCGAGAAAACTCTCAATCTGCTCATACAGAATTGATAAGCGCTCAAAATGAATATGCCCACAGATCTGATGGAAATCGAAGTGAATGTATCTACAGGATAAGGCATCTCTTTTGATGAGTTGAAGAAAATAAGGCAGACTGACTAAGAAGACATTAGACGAACAGATTAACTACCTTATATCATCCCCAGTAATTTCCTGCATAACACTAGCAAACTTCTCGCTCAAGCGCCCCTCACCGCCATGCTGATTTGAGAAGAAGCAATTGAAGAGTTAAAGTTGAAGTAGATTTATGCAATGCACTTAGTTGACCAAGATGAGATCACAAATATGACGTGTATCACATCTGGAGTCACATAACTCCAAAAATATTCACGTCAATTCTGTACCTTATTAACAAGATCAACTGCCAAAACTGATCCATATTTTTTCCTTAGGTCCAAAAAGTGACGTTCAGCTGTCCGTTTCTGCAAGAGTAGCACCCAATGCAAATTAATTAAACGACCTAAAGGTATTAAAAGGGGAAAAGGTTAAGTAGAAATCAGTACTCACAGCTTCTTCAGGTTGGACAATCTCAAACTTGGGCTTGTAAGTCAGATCTACAACTTGCTCCCACATAAAAGGCATGGATCCTCTGACCTACAAATGTGGGAGGTAAAACAACATTAAGAATTCAATAATGGGTAATTTAGTCTTGAGAAAACTTGTATGCAAGAAAAAAAAGTATCTGAATTGTGTATCTATAAAATTACCAAAGATATGCAGCATAAAGGAGACAATATAAGAGCATGTAAAATTAAACACCTGAACAAATGATGACGAATATCCATTCATCTGTACAATTTGCTCAGTCTCCACAAAATTAGCAACATAGCCATCCGGATCAGCTCCTCTTCGCCACATACGTGTACCTTTAAAGGGGAAGACACAATCACAACACAATAATCATCATCTGAATTTCCTGAAGGCAATGACATATATATCTTCCTATCTATCTAAAATAAAGAAGTTCAAATTGTGTCAAGGTGCCATCATCGTGCTTTGCCATTCTAAAAACAAGTCCCATCACGTTCTGTCAATATCTGAATTCCTTGATATAGTTATCTAGTACAAAAATCTTAGTAGCCAAACAAATGACTGAAGTCCCAGCAACCTACTTATGAATTCACGCTAGACATTAATACAATCAACCTATTGAATTGTTCCCATTCTTGTGGATTGTTACACTCGAACAAATTGAAACTGAAGTATGAAGATAAAAACAGGACAGAGAAACAAAATATGTACCATTTCTCCTAGTGCATCGCCTTGCAATTAGAGTAATGTCAACAATATCTTTTCCAATTGCTGTCTCAAAACTATTAAAACGTGATTAAAGGTTAAGGAAAGATGATTGAATAAAAAAACGTAGCGATGTAGAGTAAATAGAAGAAAAGGTAGTGAAACAGCAGACAACAAAGGATATTCCCTTGAATTACTGGAAGCAAGAACTGGTCAAGCTGCAAACATAAGAAAAGGGTAAGATATTCTGCAAGTGCTAAAAACAAGGGGATGTGAAAAAATCAAAAACCCTCAGGAATACACTCACCTTATTATCGATAAGAACTTCCAACATGTAATTGTTCCAGAGAAACCTCGGCTCAGCCTGTCAAAAAAATTATGCAACACCAGCAAAAGTTATTTTAAGTTCTGCCACAGACATGCAACAAGGAAAGGACTAATTAATGCTTCCAGTTGAAAAGTTTCACAAAAGTAGAGATATGATCACCTGTCTCCACAGAGGAAGTGACTTAGACTCATCACCCATATCATGCAAGCGTTGTGAGCTA